GAGGTGTATATAACAGCTGATCAGACCACTATGACACAACAGGGGGTAACTAAACAAAGCAAAATCATAAACCACAAAAACAATGCAATACAGTCTGCAGGCGTCTTCGCAGTCCCCCCAGCTCTCCGTTCTCCTCCCTCGCTCCTCTTTCCAGCTGACTGGGGCTCCTCCTTGCTCCAGAGAAAGGCCAGTCTGACAAGCACAGCAGCCACATGTTAAAACCATTTCAACAAACCGCGTTACATCGGTAAATATCACTGAACAGGTCTGATCAGCCTACGAGTGAAACTGTACACAAACACCATCTTTCAGCAAGACAGAACAACATCTGACCTTTAACCTCTTCTCCTTCTTCTCTTCTTCCTGCTTCTCAAGCTCGGCAATACGCAGGCTCAGGGCCTCCCAGTGCATGATGGGAAGGCCCAGATTGTCCTCGCCGTAGCGTTCCTGCCAGACCAGCGCTGCCCCCACCAAGTCTTCCCCATCTTCCTCGACCTTGTCTTTGTCGTCGTCACACTTGCCGTAATCATCTGCTTCGTTGCTCTCCTTCTCATCCCGATGTTGTCTCAGTCGTTCCTTCTCTCCCTCCATCTGGACAGCAGGGAAGCACTGGGTTAAAATGCTCGCAGCTTTACATCAGACCGCCTGCTTCAATCACATCCTGACGAATGAAATATTCATCTTCACTGGGATAGAGATTGTTTTATCCCAGTGAAGATTGCATGTAGTCACAATTATAAAACTCAGCCTCTCTACCATAGTTTGCCTTTTGTGGCGTCTCTTTCTGACCCAACCAGCCAATCACATGGCCAACCACAACCAGATGGCCCCTCCCCTTCCTGAGCCTCGTCCTGCCAGAGGTTTCTTCCTGTTAAAAGGCAGTTTTTCCTTCTTACTGTCACCAAGTGCTTGTTCATAGATCATCATCTGATTGTTAGATCATAGGCTGTACAATGAGGCACTTAGGAAGGCCTGTCATTAACAGTCTGCAATCAACAGACAACTTCATGAAAGGTACGTTGACTGAAAATTATCCATAGCAGATTTAATCACCAATAATGCACGGCGGTCAAACAGCCGAAGAGAGATGATGCCGGACAAAACTGTAGCAAAAACACTTGCACAACACGGAAACACACAAACACAGGTGAGAGATAAAAGCGTCCCAACCACAAACTTCATGCACTCAC